AAAACAAAAGATGAAAGCTAACGAGAGCATATGCGCACAAAACTATTATGCCCTTTGGTTACGGGGATAAAAAAACGCTAGGAGCGTATTTAGGCATTCATTTAAAAAATTATAATTCCTAAACATGTGTTATAATAATAAGTCTAATATTTAAAATGCTTAAAGCTAAAGAGACACCATTCCAAAGTAAGTTGTTAATCCCAGCATGGATTCACATCATGTAAAATACGTAGCTACATTTCACAAATTTGCGTTTTTTATTCACTTTTAATCTTTATTTAAGATCTGTCCTTGGTTGGACAGTTATTAAATTTTACGATAACTTTGAAATTTCAATCAGTCTTCAGCCTTGATAGTTGCGGCGTGATTCGAACAAGAACCCTACTCAGGAAAAAACATTGTGGGCTTTCTGCTGGCTCGTTAAGCACATGCTAGGCCCCGAATTTACGATAGACATGGGAATAATAGCTTGTTTGCACTTTTTTTGATACAAGCCATATCATTTGCCTGCTTAGAAATGTCCGTAACATTGATATTTTTATAAAAATCGATCGAAGCATCGAAACTAAAAGCATCGAGTTATTATCGAAAACAATACCCTAAGTAAAAATCGATATATCGATACATATTTACATCACTAATAAAAACCATTTTGTAAAACTTACTTTTAAATTAAAAAAAGCATATAACTTAGATGTGTGTTGCTCCACAAATTAATTGTCGGAGATGTTCATTCCTCTATGCTTGTAGGTGGCCTAAATTTGTATGTGCCTTCCAGGACAACAGGAAACTTTTTGCCTCTTCTATTTCTCTTCAGCCATCTCCGGAACCTCTGACCGGGAACGGTTGTGAAAAGTCAATTAATTAAGAATATTGAAGAGCTTGCAGCTTTTCGAAACATTCTGAAAGTTTCTCATACATAGAGTTTATTTTCAATGTCGATATAATCTAATTATTGGTGTGCGGCTTCGATTTATTTCCGGGTATTGGTCTCAGTTCAATCCTTTTTCATGACCATTGGCAGACTGTTTATTGAATAATATTTAAGAATTCAGATATTTCATAATAATAGCTTTAACTTCAGTGGCAAAGTAGAATAGTTTTCATCACATTGTTCGCATGAGGTGCCCGAATGTAATTATAATTCCATGAAACTGTCGTTTCCTGAGTCCAGAAGCAGCAGACTTTAGATTTTGTTTTGGAGAGTATAAACAAGAATTAATTTTAATTGTATTTGATTTCATTTATGCGTAATAAAAAGCCGCCTAATTGAAGCGCTTTTAATGACAACTAACATAAAACGTTGGTCACATAAAAAAATTTCACTACTTGGCCAAGTGCAAAAACAAAAGACTTGAGCAACAAACTTGTTCTGCTTGTACGGAAATCAATTAAGAGCAGGCCGATGAAGTCTGTTAAAAAAACCAAAGCTGAAGCTGCAAGCTGAAATAATCACTGGAGCTTCAGCCAACGATAAAGTCAATGTCCTTTGCAGACAAACACACGCAACACACACACACACACACACACACACACACATGCACGTAATCGCTAAAAGCTGCTCTTTGGCCAGTTTGTTGTGTTGTCTGCGTTGTCTGCTCTGCAAAAGGGCTCCGCCCCTGCCTCACTTGTGCCCACCGCTTAAACAAGTTCTGCGACTTTGGCCAACACACACAATTTGCAGCTAACAGCCTGCACTTGCATTTTGCAGTTGCGGCTGCAATTGCAGTGTGGCTGCAACAATGAGAGCCACAAACAATGTCAAGTTCAAGCCGTGAAAAGCCGAGTATTGGCAAGCAGCCGACACATATGCTTTGTTTTTCAGGAAAAACTGTCTGCGCCGCATATCGACAACCTGCTCTCAGATTTCATTTTTCTGTCAACATGTTTGGCCAGCGTCGCCGCCGCCGCCGCCGCCGCCGTCGCCATCGCCATCGCCACCGGAGCGCAGTAATAATATCTTTCTTGACCCATTTAACCACATTTTGTATGCATTTTTCTAATCGTTTCCGTCCCGTCATTTGCATAGTATGGCAATTTGTTCGGATTAGAAAACATATTTGTAAGAAAGTGTGTCCGTAGAGTGTTTCATGCCCTGCAGAGAGTGGGCGCGATTGGATGTCATTTCGCTGTTGCCTGCATTTCTAATGAATTATTAACCCAAAAAACAAAAAATGGGTGAAAACTCGGCGCATTCGAGATGCACCATCGACTAACTAATTGACTCTAAAAATAGCAGAAGCTGGTTTTGTGTACAAACAGCCCACAAGTAGTACGAGGTATAGTATACCCATGTGTGTGTGTGGGAAACTTGTTTTGGGCCCAAGCCTGCAAGAACAAATGCAGCAAAACTTTCATATAATCCCAAGACGAAGTCAACGAACACGACAACAGCGACAAGCAAGAAAAATCTGCCGATCAAATGCCTGCAATTAAAATGCATGAAAAAAGCAACGAGAGTGAAAAACAAAGCAAGAGCGCACACAGATGAGCAGCGCAGCAAGAAGAGCTGGCACAGTGGTACCATAGCATTGATATGCAACATAAATAATAACAGAACATTGCCAAAATTATGTTATAACACAAATCAATCTTGTTGCCATTACATACACAAAAGGGAATAGATACACTGATAAAAAAAAGTTGCATAGTACGGATGAATATTTTCATATTAAATTTAATGTTCATCTATTTCATATTCAAATCAAATAAAAACATCGTAAAATTTACTAAAAACACATTCAATTAGTGATTGTAATGTGAATTGAATATTCGAAACAAAGTGTAAAACTTCGTTATTAAAGTGCGTCATATTCAATTTAATGTTGAACCATATTAAATATTAATATGCACACACTTCAAAAAACAAATAGTTACATTTGCTATTTTCCATAGTAAATTATAATATTTTTTGAACTTTATTTTGAAGTTTTTTGTAGTCGATTTAAATATACTGGAAATATATTAAATTTCAATTGACTGCAATTCTCAAGTCGGTTTTCAGCGGTTGTGTGGTATAAATACAAAGTATAACCGCTTGGCATACAGATATGGTCGTTAAGTGTGTGGTATTCAATCGGCTGCTTCTCACTTTTAATATTAATATTGATCCAAACTATATCTGTACTAAAATGCATAAAAAAACGTCAAAAAAATTAATTCATAATAGCAAAATAATTTTAAAATTACTTTCTGCTAAAATTGGTGGTTCTAAATAATATATATATATATATATATATATATATATATATATATATATATATATATAATATATATATATATATATATATATATATATATATATTTATTACTTGTGATTTAATATCGTCACACTTTAAATTCAATATTTTAATATTACATTTTTAAATTGAAGTTTGCACACTTCATATTTACTAAAACACACGACAAAATCGATGGTAAAAATAGTTAAATGTACGTGTAAATATTGAAATTTCCGTGCTTTTTTTTATCAGTGTAGTCAGAGACACAAAGAACAGACATACATACTAGTATACTGCTCTAATAATACTCGGCCCAAGGCCCACTCTGGCGATAGAGCGATAGAGGCGGAGCAGCTATGAGCAGTTAAGGGTCCACGACTCTCCATGAAGTCCATGAAAAATATTTTCAAAATTAACAAAAAGTTACTTCAAGTCTTAAATAATATACATTAGCTTATGGTTAAAGGTAGACATATCAATCAATGATTAATAAATAAAAAATTCGTGCAAGATGTTTTTTTTTATTTATTTTTATTTTTTATTGTTGATTATTTTATAAATCAACATTTTCGACTGCTTGGTGGCTTTAAAAGCTTTGTAGTACTTCTGCACGTATAAAATAAAAGCATTTATCTTCAAACAACTCTTCAGTATCATCAATAGTCATGTCCTCGAATCCTTTGTGGCATTTATATTTCGTGGTTTTTAACAATTGCGTTTTTAAAAGACAATATAGACAATTCAGCGCAGTTTTGAAATGAAAACACCTGATAGCAAGTAATATTGAAAATATTAATCCATTTATTATATTAGTTTTGACATTTATTTTATTTCGATTTTCATTTGGATAGCATGGATTAAGGTTCTCAGCGTGTTCAAAAGGGGAAGACAGCAAGTTTTAAATCGCGCTCTTATTTATCGTCGCAAAAAAAAACTCTTCTTTAAAAAATGCGATTAAAATACAAAGAGAAAATACTACACCTAAGTTATTGACAAACGTTTTGATAAGCTGCATAACGTCAAGTAACTACAAAATAACTTAAATAATAATTCTTATTTACATAACAATTTCAAAATGTGATTTTTTCGGTTCATTAATTAATTTCCGTCTAATTATTACTAAATATGTGTTTTTAATTTACGAATAAAATGCAAGGAATAACTCTTTTATCTCTTTTTATAAAACCATGTATTATTCAGTTAGACAATAAACTTATAGCAGTTGAGGGGACTGAACTATATGATTTAATTTGTCGATGAAATAAAAAATAAATGAAATTCAGGTCACACGGAAGCATGCATAAGATGTTGTTACCTGCTTCTCTGCTCTTCCCTCGCTATTGAAACCTCTCTTGAAAATCGCCCAAGATGAACAAACTGATGCCAATGTGGGCCCTTTTTCAGCCAATTGGCCAACAGTTCAATGACATTTTGGCACAAGAAGTGGCCAGGCGCTCGGACAGAGCTTGTTTGTCTTTTACAGAGTCCAAGTCCAAGTTAGAGCCAAAATGTGCAGCAGAGCTCAGAGCGCAGCTACGCATGCGCAGGCAGTGGCGGCGACGTCGCAGCTGGCGTCGACAGCGTGCAGCGAACGTTGCGTGCCCAATAATTGAGTTCAGTTCGAGTCGACGTCGTCGTCGTCGTCGTCTGGTGTATAAATGCGCAGACTCTAAAGAAACCTGAAGCAGTTGCGGCCGAGAGGCGCTAGCGTACAAAACACTTGAAACGTCGCGTGTCAAACTTTGGAAAAACTCAGTTACAATCCGCCCATTGAAAAAGATGAAGCTGTTCGTTTTTGTGATACTCTGCCTGGCTGTGGGCAGCCAGGGACGCGTGCTGCAGCCGCCTAAGGAGGCTATCGACATACCCGTGACGATTGTGCAAGATGATGAGCCAGCGGAGAAAAAGAAGCTGGCAGAAATAGTGCCCGTGCCGGTGACCGTGCCCGTGCCCGTGCCCGTGCCCGAACAGAAGCCAATTGAAGTGCCGGCTAAGCCCGTCGAGAAAATAGAGCAGCCAGCCGGGGAAATTGTCAAAGAAGAGGTGCAGCAGCAGCTCAAGACGGAGCAGATTGAAGAGAAGATTAAAGAACCAGAGCAGCCACAAGCTGTGCTTAAGCCAGAAGAGCCGAATACCGTTGAGCAGGAAAAGGTGAAGGAAGGTGAAGCAGAGCAGGCAGAGACACAGCCTCAGACACAAACGCTCAAAGAACTGGCTGCGGAAAACGGAGCGGAAACAGTGCCCTTGCCCGTTGAGGTGCCCGTGCAGAACCTGGATCCGGAGGACGCAGTGCAGCCAGCGGTGCGTCAGGCCACACAAGCCACACCCACGCAGCAGCAGTCAACCACACAGCAGAACTTTGTGCAGCAGCTCATACAAAACTCGCCCATTGGCCAGTTCCTCAATCAGTTCAATGGTCAGAATCAACAGCAGGCAGATGCGCCAGCCACGCCAGCGCCCACAGTGCCCGGTTTCCTGAATCCGGCAGCAGCCATTACCTCTGCCCAGCAGGCGGTGCAAAATGCGGCTCAATCGGTTGTCAACACCACCACACAGGCTTTCCAGGGTATTCAGCAATTCGCCAACAATCTGGGCACACAGTTCCAGAACACACTCTCCGGTCTGACGGGTCAGCAAAGTCCGGAGCCCACCACACCCCGTCCACCAGGCCCCATTCAGTCGTTCGTTAACAATGTCTTTGGTGGTGGCAACAACGCCACAGCGGCTGCCCCACCACAACAGCAGGGTCCTTTGCAGGGCATCATCAACTTCCTGGGCGGCAACAGGCCACAAAATGCCAATCCAGCCACGCCCATTGTGACTGACAAGCCCGCTGCCGAAAAGCCAGCTGTCGATGACAAGGTCGACGAAGTGCAGGAGCAACAGCCGATCGAGTCCGACGATGCCAACGAGGTGCGCAACAGCGCTGAAGCGATCGACGATTCGTTCGAAGAGGCTGTTCCCGTCGACGAGGTTATTGTCGTCAACGATGATTCCGCCGTTGTCGACCCTGTCGAGGCCTCGCAGTCCGACCCAAAACCCGTCCAGGTCGAGCTCTCACTGCAACAGGAACCAGAGTCTGCCGTTGTTCCCGCCGACGATGTTCAATAATTACCGGGACCGCCACAGCCACCCTCATCATCCATCCTTACATTTGCGCTCATTTTCATTTTTGTAAAAGTCGCAACGACTGACGCCATTTTTGTCGCCATTTTTCCCCCATCAAGCAATCGTGCGAGAAAAAAAACGTTTCTTAGTTGTGTAAGTGCATGCAAAATTATTTATTTCATTTTTCCCAGGAACTTAATTTTAATATAAAAAATAAAAATTTAAATATATTCAAATGTGTTGCTTCATTTTTTCCATATAACACTCAACTGTACAAATCCACCATTTTAGTTGCAGTTTTCATCCATCAAATCGCTACATTTTTACATCAAAATAATGTAAGCCTCTTTGCCTTTGAGATCTGCTACAACAAAATTACTAGAAGCATTTGGCCTTCACCTTTCCCTTTCTAGTAGTCCGACGTTTCCCTGACTCATTGACTTCTCAACACAACTTCCCAACTTTTGAGTCCAACTCAAAAGCTGACTCACTTGCCCAATCTACTTGTAGTTAAACTTAAGTGATTACTTCGTTAATTAGTAGCTTGTTTAGAGCAAGTAGAGCAAAGTCTCCAACCGCTGTTTGCTATTTCTAATTAAACTCTAACAACGACATTACCCCACTTATGGGTGGAATTTTCCAAGTTCTATTTGTTAGCATCTTTAAATGTACAATGTTTAGAAAAATGATTAGCCAGAGACATTGGACCCCAAGAATATATTAAGGCCTAAAACAAGTCTCTTGTAACTGAATATTAGGCATTCCAAATGATGAATATATTAATCGACAATCGACAAAATGTTATGTTATTTGCAAGAAACTGCCATCTTTACAATAGAGATGAAATCTAGCATTTATGATATAGTATTATTTTCGCTGCAAATTATTTATAAAGAATCGGCCTTCTTATTGGTTTTAAAATATTTCCACTGAATTTTATACAACTTCCATCCTACTTGTATATAGAATCTACGTTCCAGCATATAGCGAAGTAAGTACTAGAGCTGTAAAAACATCGATGTTTTCGATATTTAAAAACCAAAATATAGACACTATCGATGTTTTCAAATACAATATTTTCATTTAGCCTTTATTTGGTAGATCAATAGTTTTGTTCAATAATAATAACTTATTTACGATGTTGCTTTTTAAAAATCTCCTACTTGTGTTATAATTTGGCCAGCTTTGCTAAAAGTGCGTCCAGAGGCACATTATGTGGCTGGCACGACCATTATCTGCCTGGCTACAGAATTCAATGAATCATCACCAAAGAAAAAATGGCTCCTTTTCCCCCTTGGGGCTACCAATGTTTTTTCATTGCCTTTCGCACAGGTGTCCCTCGGTGTAACTATAGAAGTACTTCCAAAACTATTACATAAATAAACAAAATATATTTAAAATATAATAAATAACAAGAAATGGGACTAAAATATTTCAACCAGCTTCTTCGTTTTCAAATTTCAAAAAGTACCCGATTATCGATATTGGCAACTAAAACATCGATGTTTTCGATATTACCCAAACTTCGATATATCGATGTAGATATCGATGTTTTATCCAGTGAGTAAGCACCAGTATATTACTGAGATAAAAGCCACAGAAATTTATTCAAAAAATCATTTTTTATTTATTTTAATTGTTTCTTTTTGTTTCACATTAAGGTGGTTCAATAGCTGAAATTGTTACATCTTCAATCTAGGGAGAAATGTACACATAGGTCCAAGAAAACGAAAGGGCACAAATCCTTAAAATTATATTTGTATTCAATATGCAGCTCGAAAAAACCTATGCCAGAAATTATGCTAATGATTTTGAAATTCCATTTCAATTCGCTATAATTTATTTAAGCCGCTTCTTACGTACCTCTTGAGCTCAATTATACAAAATGAGTTCTACTTAAAGTTAATCGATTAGCCTTATGCGATGAGGTGTATGAAGGGTGTGTGAATGAATTCGGGGCAGTGTTCTATTGATTTCTAATCTAAGTTGTGTGTGTGTGTGTGAGTTGTAAAGCGTGTAGGGGGCGAGAAAACAACACAAAAATCTCTTGCTTGAGCACAAAGTTTCTGGAGGGGGGATGTTAAGAGTGGTGTATAAATTTCTAGTTGGATATATACTCATATTTTGTGTCTCTTTGAAAGATAATTTTGTAAGTCTTTAGTTTTTTGGTACATGAACTTAGTTTTGATTGACTTTAGATTATAAGTATTAGATTTCATAAGTATTGGTGTTTCATAGACATGAAAATGCTCACACTAGGCAGCAGTTATTCTCTAAACTATTAACTAAACTAAAAGGCATAAGTTCAGAAACAAATATAAATACAATAGAGTAGAAATTGTTATTATTATTTTTAAACATTGCGAACTCTCTAGTCCAGTGCCTAGTCTTGTGTATTAATAGTTCGAAACTACTTTTAATAATAAGTAACCCAAGTGAAAAGGAGAAACAATTCCAAGCCCCTTGGCTTCATTTTATTTCCATTAATGGGTTTTGGTTCCGCCTAGTGTGAACACGTCCGCTATAAATAGCACATAATAGGTTTCATTTTGAGAATTTATGCTAATTAAATGTTTATAATTAGGGCAAACATAACAGTATTAAAGCATTTTCTGGAGCATTTCGCTCAGTGTATACATGGTAAAGTAATCCAATATAATGTATATATAGGTGTATATAAATAGTAGTCGAGTAAATAGGCATTTTTTTTTTTTTAATTTTGTTCGCATACAGGAAGAGTAAGTGTACGATGTGTATATATGTATATAGACGTGGGCTGGAGGTGTACGCGTTTGTATATATTTTGAAGCCTTTTCGAGTGTGAATATGATTCCGATGCTGTGGCTATACATAAATATATGCTGTGGGGTGTGTTTGTGTGTGGATGTGTGTGTGTGTGTGTGTGTGTGTGTGTGTAGTGGGTAGTAGTACAATCATATGTCTGTTCAGATACGTTCCATTATATATGTATTGTATTGTATTGAATGCATGGTATGTGGTATTGGAGGCATGCTATATGCTTTCATTTGTTGCAATAAGCTGGAGACATGCTTACAATTGTCCCTACTATATGGTTTATAGTGTGTCTAATGTTATGAAGGTCATATAATGGACAGGAATGATTACACAGTTGCTGCAAATGTTGTTGATTTTTTTTGGTTTTTACTAAGAAGGTACAGTACTTGTATATATGTTAGCTATAGAGTGGCTATATCGTAGAAGCTTTTGATTAGGCAGGTTCTTAGTTTAGTTCCGGATGAGGGAGTTACTTGCATGTGGGAAATTCGAAACGGGAAACGAACTCTCAAACATTCGATAAGTAAACGTTATTTTGTTTTTGGTCGCATTTATAAAAATAAAAATTCATTCATTTTCGTTTGGTTTGGTTTCGTTTTTGCTATTAATCGTAAAAATATTGCACATACTTTCTTTGGAATTTTTAATTGGATTCTAGCAAATATAACACACGAGATATCAAATATATGTTTACCGTATCGTAATATCCTAGGCATTTAAAAATGGGTTAACATGCAGACACCGAAAAGATTTGCAAAATTTTTTGGAATATCATATGCTTATTGGTTGTTTTTTTTTCTGTATTATTATTCTGTATTACAATTTGCTTTTGGATTAACTGGCAATATGGCGTAGGGCAGAAGTGTTTTTTGTTGGAATAATTTGGAGAGAAAAGGAATGGTTTTAAAAGGCAATGCTGCAGAAGAAACATTTGAAGAAGGGCTGTCCAGTTCCCCAATTGGAGGTCAAGCATAGTTTCAGTTAGATCAGAAGAAGAGTGTGGAAATTATTAATTAATTAGTTAGTAAAGCAATAAAGTACAGAAATTTGTTCAGAGTGTGCATTTTTGAAAAATGTTAGGGCGATGCTTTTCTGTCCCTCCGCCAACTGCCAGAGCTACGGCATTAGGCATTATAATAACTTTGAAGCTTCTCGGCTTTGGTAGCTTTGGTGTCAATTAAATCTTTGCATATACATATAAGTATATATGTACGTACATTTATATATATATATGTAAGTAGTAGCTATCATCTCATTGTTTTCATTTTAAGTAGACCATCTATACACAGATGTCGATTATACCCTTTATAATGCCCATTAGTTATACATACATATAGTACTAATACATATATATATCATAGATAGTGTCCATTAACTTAAGCGTTAAGTAACTAAAACTAGAATTACGATTTATGCTGTCTGCTACCGTCATAGTCCTTGTCCTTGTGCTTGTTATCGTTATCGTCGTCGTCATCGTCATCGATCTCCAACGATTCATCTAAACTTGCTCTAAACTAGAATACAATTTGGTTTAGTGCTTTGATTATTCATTGCACGGTCCGCTTATAAATTCGTTTCAGTTCTGTGCGGCGCCGCCATAGCGGTGGTTGCAGCGACAGCACCACCCGGCGCCGTCATGCGCACGCGCTCCCCCACCCCCGGCCCAAGGAGCCGTGTGTGCCGCACCAGACGCGTCATCGGCGCCGCAACCGTCTGAGCCGTCGGAGCCTCTCCATTGGGCGCTCCTCCCACGGCCGTGCCAGCTCCTGCACCGCGCATCGACCATTCGTTCTGTTTGAGCAAAAATTGCTTCACATTGTACTCCATTTGGGCAATATCCACATGCTGGGTGGTTGTGTGCAGCTCCGCCTGCACGGAGCGCGTCTTGTCCGTATCATTCGGATAGTATTTATAGTTGAGTATATCACACGTGGGCTGTTCGGGACAGACTAGGGGCGGCGAGCCAGCCGAGGAGCAGGGCATGGAGCTGTTCATCGCATCATTCCCATTGTTACTATTGTTTGTGATTGTTGTTGTGGTGGTTGTGGTCGTATAGGCCACTGGCAGGCCAGAGCGTGTGGTGCGACGATAGTAGGTGGTGCACAGCTCGGCCTTCTTGCCGGGAATGGCATTTGCATTCGTATTCGCATTCGCATTCATGGAAGCATTGACATTTATGTTCACACTCGCATTGCTGTCCACGATAGGGCCCAAGGAATTGCTGGTGTTGTCCGTTTTGGGTGATAACGAGTCCTCCGTGGACTTGCCCGCATCTGCATAGCCATTCGTCAGTTGCTGTGGCGTTGTCTTGTACCCCGAGTCCATGGACAACTTCTCTATGGAAATGGAATCCATGCGGTCCAGCGTTGAGTACGAGGATTGCCGTTCGGTGCCCGAATTCGAATCGCTCGGCGGCAGAGGCTGTTGCAGCGCCCGCTGTTCCAGCTGCTGTGTATTGTGCTGCACCCACTCGGCCACGCGGCTCAGTTGTTGGCGACGCAGCGCCACACTCTCCTGATAGTCGATGGCATCACTAATCGAACTGGAATGCGTACACGATTTGGAATTGGCCGAGTGCTTGGGACTTCCAGTGGGGGCAGTGGCAGTGGCAGTGGCAGTGGCGGCAGCTGTAGCGGGCGCAATGCCACTTGCCTCCGCCGTGGTAGTTGCAGTTGGCGCTTCCATTTGGCCAGCCTTTTCAGTCTCTAGCTCCACCTGCGGCTCCAGCACAGGTTGCAGTGCCACATGCTCGTAGGATGCGGCAGGTGCTTGCCACGCCTCCACGGCAGCGTTGACGGCGTTCGCTTCCGGCAACGCGGCATTGCTATCCTTGGACGTAATTATGTCCTTGGTGTCGTTGAGCTCCTCATCCAATAAACGCTCACGACGCTTATAGATGACTGGTGTGTAGGTCTCGATGGACTCCAGATTATCCAGCAGGATGTTGCTTTGACCATTCTGCTGAATCCGCATCGCACACAGACGTGGTCCCCGATGCTTGGGATTCTCCGCCTAAAAAAAGTATATTATGATACTTATTCCATTTATTGTTAATAGTTTGTAATTGATGAGAAGCTTAGAAGCTGGCGTGAAAGTGTCTACACACGAATCCTTATAGCCATGTCCGTCTGTATGAATGCCTGGATCTTGGTATACCCTTTTGACATATCAGAAAAATTGACTGCATTCACCTTCTCTAGTAGCATAAACCTTCCTAGTCTATATTCGAGGCAAATTTTTGTTTTACAGACTGTTTTTTTAAATATTGTTGTTTTAGGATTTGTCTTAAAGAAAGGAAAGTTTATAGAAGCCTTTCTGTTTCTTTTCCTTCACCTTGAATAAAATTAATGAATTTAGTTCCGAATCAACGGAAATAATCAATTCTCTGTGGGCTGAAAGGAGCCTTTTTAAAGTGAAACTTCTTATGTGAGGGTTTACGAGAATGCTGGATCGTCAACCTTTTCTTTGACGAAATCTGCAGGAATATTTCTTTTCTTTTCTATCTATTTTTAGCGGGCATTATAGTTATTTATGGCTGTGTCTTAGCCATTTTCTAACAGGTTTTCTACTTATTTTTAGTAACCTTTTCTGTGACGAAATCTGCAGGAATATTTTTAATGCGAATTGACGTCAGGTTTTCTATCTATTTTTAGCGGGCATTATAGTTATTTATAGCTGTGCCTTAGCCATTTTCTAACGTGGCGAAATCTGCAGGAATATTTTTAAGGCGAATTGACGTCAGGTTTTCTATCTATTTTTAGCGGGCATTATAGTTATTTATAGCTGTGCCTTAGCCATTTTCTAACGTGACGAAATCTGCAGGAATATTTAAAATGCGAATTGACGGCAGCTTTTCTATCTATTTTTAGCGGGCACATATAGGTATTTATAGCTACGTCTTAGCCATTTTCTAACGGGTTTTCTACTTATTTTTACTAAGGTTTGTACGTTTTTCCTCTTTCTCTCTTTACTTATAAATGTTTTACTAGCCATTCCGATAATAAGCTCTGATAATAAGCTGTTAAGGAGTTTCGAAATTTGTAGTGTAACATTTTTAAAAACTCAAACCGGAAATAAAATATTTCTCAAGGATTAAGCCGACTTCTTTGTTTTCACATTTCGAAATAAATTGAAGAACGGTTTAAGATTTACTTCGAACGTTAAGCGATCTTCATCAATTGCGACATCGTGAAAGCTTCTTAAACACAGTAACTAACCTTGATAGTCTTGATGAGATTCCTGTTGAAGGTCTCGAACATCTTGGCACCCTCGCAGCTGCTCGTCTTGCTCCACAGACTATTGACGCTGCCGGAATTGTTGGACTTGAGCAATGCCTGCTGGGCAGCGACTACGGCGGCCACGGCTACGGGTGTGGGTTTCACGGGCAACGGTTCGCATACATCCTCCAATTTCTGCAGCACCTGTTGTTGTTGTTGTTGTTGCTGCGGCTGCGGCTGCGGCTGTTGCTGTTGGTTTTGTTGTTGCTGTTGCTGTTGCGTTTCTACATCCAGCAAATTGGATTGCGATATAGCAGCCAGCAGTGGCTTAGTGGCCTCGTCCTCAATTTCCTCGGCCGTCGTAGTGCCCCCTGTAGGCTCATATTTGTTAAGCAGCTGCAAGGCCGTACCGCCACCATCGAGAAACCTACGCGGATAGCCATTACGCAGCTGGCCCAGACTGCTCGTCTCCAGCATGTATTTTTCCACCGCATAAGCGCCCAAATGCGTGGTCGGATACATCATGGTGGAAGCTGTCATTTTTCCAGCTGCAATGGCCGCATAGTCCTGCGCCGTTGACGCTGTCAGGCCCAGCGTAGTGCGCTCGCATAGTCGATGGTGCCCCAAGATGGGATTCACCATAAGATCATCCTTCTTGGCTGGCGTAAACAGCTTGTCCATGTCGTTTAGATCGGATACGGAGCTCTTTGTTTCCGAAATCACAGAATCACTCGACTTGACCAGCTTCATCAGGTATGGACTGTTCGTCCGCGAGGGCGAGTTCAGATTGCTATTGCATCGTAGGCACAATTGCGTCAGTGGCTCGTTGAGCGCCCCTCCATGGCCCAGGGAGTGGTGTGGCGTCTGGGTGGCCACCGTATAGGAACGAGAGACGTCGGCCAGCACCGTCAGATCCTGTTTGCTGCACTGACATGTATCGCAATGTTTCACCTCGCCCGCCTTCAGCTCATCCTCCAGAAATTTGGCCATAACTGTGGGCGATATCATGTCCGGATCGGCGTTCGTGGCTCTGTTGAACTTGCTGTTGGTGTTGTTGGCATTGATGGCATTGATGGCATTGCACTGGCCTGTACTGCTATTGTTGTTTAGAGTGTCCTTTGTGTTGTTGTTGTTGCTGTTGCTACTGCAACTATTGTTGTTGTTGTTGTTGTTGTTGCTGCTGACGTGAGACTGCTGTGTGCCGGGTGTGGGCGTATTTTTTGCATCTGTTTTGGTATTTGGGTTTGGGAATATATTTAAATTTTTAGTTGTGTTGGCTTCTTAAGTACTTTTATTATTTTTGAAGTTTATGCAATGTTTTCGGGACAGTTTGAAATAAATTATGTCTGTGATTTGTACTAAACAAAATCTTTAAACATTCAAATTTCTAACATTAAGAAATTTGTATCGGTAAGGATTTTTAAAACATAAAAAAGTGTATATATATAAATGAAATGAAAATGACACTTTTGTAATTTAAATCTATAAATTGTAGCGAAAATTAAATACAGTATAAATATAAAGTAGAAATACTTATAAATTAAATGGAAAGGACACTGAAACAATTTTAAATCGATATATTATCGGCTTTATATCTCTTCATATTCCAAAGGTACTATAAATGTAACATATTGTAAAAAACATCGATAAGAAAAATAATAAAAATAATCGAATTGGAGAAAAAATGTTTTATTAACGTCTTCTAAAAGTTTGTCCGAACCTTTTTAACTACTCTTAAGAAAACAAAGCAACAGTTCTATTTTACAGAAAGTAAAATTCGGAGTGGATTGCTGTCTTGTTTTCATTACTCTTTCTAACTTTCTTAAGGCCTAATGGATATACAAAAAAAAAAAAAAAAAACAAATATAGGAAAACAGAAAGAAACAGGTTTTGAATAATGTTATTTATCTTGTAATTATAATATTTAGTGCCGATTTTGTTTTTTTTTTTATTTATTAGGCAAATAAAGATTTATTAAGATTAAAAGTTTAAAATTAAATTAAATTTTTATATGAGTGCAAAACTAAACATATTTGATAATTCAAAATATGGTTGCAATAACAATTTTTAATAATTAATAGAGTAAAAATATATGAATCTGTTTGATAACGAGTCATCATTTACTATTGCATTCATTCATTCAGCTTGTTTATCTTTTGAATTGTTAAGGAATATTGGAAGAATACGACACTATGTAATTGGACTTAAAATTAAAACATTTTGAAACTAATTTAAGTATTTCAAACATTTTTGTGGTTTTAAATCGATTTAAGAATACTTTTTGGAACTAAATGGACACCTTTTATCATCAGCCTCGTCGTCCGACTATATGCATTGAAACCTAATAATCAAGCTCACTAAATCTCCAGCGACACATTATTGATGTTTGTTGTCTGATCCAATGGCTGATTTCCCTACAGTCCCGACAAAAGCAAAGCAAAACCTTCCTGTTACTCCTAGTTGGAACACCTCACCGAGCTTTGACCAGGACTGTATGTGATCCATTTTTCAGTACCAGTCTGCAATCTTTTAAGAAATGGCTCGATTTAATTCTGCTTCGCCAATTATTTTGCAATACTTTGACTTCATTTCCACATTTCTTACGCATTTTTTGACGAATGCATCTTTTACTTTAAACATTGTTCACAATTTCAAACACTAATAATTGCAGAATATACTGACATTTTTAATTTCTTTTCAACTTATCTCTAAATACTACTAATACTTTGCGAACTATAACTAAACAAAGATGGAGTTCTTTCTTCAACCCAATAAATTGTATTTTTTTGCAGAATGTTGCTATAAATATTATTATTATTATAATCGAAAAGTTCTTGAAGCCTTTGCATTTCTCTTATTATACTTCAATACTCTACTTCAATATAAACTTTTCTTCTCCCTTTCTTAAACAACCAATCAAGCCATGAATATTCTAAAAAATACATATATTTCTTAATGTATAATTGCAGCAGTAAATGTTGCAGAAATTTCAAATTAAACACACAACATACAAGTAGTTGCAATGTGTTTTCAAATTTATGCCAGCAACATAAACAATGAATAAATGTATCAAACAACACAGATGATGGAAACAAAATACAAAAGCAAAAAGTGTGCCAGCAATTTAAGCTGCAACAAAAATATAAAAAAAACAACAACAAGAGTAAATCAAATTAATATAATTGCCTCAATTATGGCAACAACAAAAATTGCGAAACAAAAACCATGAGATCTCAAATAAATGTGCTGCAAAATATAATTTAATTATGGCATGCCAAGGATCCAGCTGATAAAACAAACTCGCTTTAATTGGATGTGCTTTTTGCACATGAGTGTGTTTTTCTATGTATTTGTATGTATATGTGTGCATGTGTGTGTGTGTGTGTGTGTGTGTGTGTGTGCTGCCAAAAAGTTGCTAAAAACATCGTAATTCAGGCATTTCTAGCAGCTGGTGCTTTAAAAATGCTTTAAAAATTAATATTAATATTCGAATTCGTAATTGCGAAACCAAATATAGAAACTAAAAGTAATCAAAGATTAACGGAAATAAAAAATCAACATGGTCTACTAACACTTACCAAGGCCCCGCATTGAGTACACCATGGCGGTGGGCGGAAAAGGGCAGGGTGCTGGCGGTGGCGAGTCCGAGGCCGGAAGCACTTTATAGGAAGCTGAAGTGGCCACGCCTACTCCACTGTTGCTGCACTCCGAGTCCGAATGCGAATTGGTCTCCAGGCGCATATAGGCGGACACTTTTGATTGTATATCAATGGGTAGCTAAGTGGTTTGAAACGGGGGATGTGCATAAGAAATATGGTATAATTTAGGTACAGTAGTTACTGCCTAGTTCTAACAACACTCAACAAAAACGACGCCCTATTCCAATTGACAGAGCAATAATGTAACTTTCTTACATATGTACATATAACATAAGACTAAAACTAAAATAATAAATATTGGAGCTCTTTTTTGTCAACTTACTTCAGAAACTAAAGTTAAGAAACTACCATTACCAATAATTTTACGAACAGCGATGCAGATCTATGAAAGCAGTTAAATAGACTTGTTTCTAGTCGTACAATAATAAATAGGCTAATAGACGCTGATTTGAAAGCACATTCCGCAAGAAAAGTACCACGACTTATAAAAACAAAAATTCTCAGGACGCATTCTTTTTCCAAAAGGCATTTAAAGATGGAAGTGTCAACATAATGCTATGGGGATGTTTTTGTTGGTCAAATATTTTGGTATAAGGACGAAATCTGCGCCATGGATTACGTTAATATACTTAACAGCATATTGCTTCCATATACCGAGCAAGTAGAAATGCCAGTAATGTGGGAGTTTTTTCAAGATAATGAGCCTCAACATACTTGGCAGCTTGCAAAAATAAGGTTCCATGAAATCAAACGTTCTTTGATGGAACGGATTTCACAATGATAAAGAATAAAGAATATTTTTGGTCCAAAAACAGAGACGATTTGTGGAAAAAAGTGCAGATAACTTGTTCCAAACTGACGGAATCTATAAGTCGTCCGAGCGCAGAAGCTTTCTAAAATCATGGTGACACTATCAAATATTAGTTATAATTAATTAAAAACTAATTTTTCTCAGTTTGAACTATGTCGTCTCTATTTTTTTTTCCAACCCAAAAAGAAAAAATACCTTTTTTTCGCAATCTATATTTTGAAAAAGCTTTTGTTTTTTTAATTTAAATATGTAATCTGATGAATATTTAGGAAAACAAATTACATTCTGAAAGAAAACATTTGTATGGAAGAAAATTCGAATGAACGAAGAAAATTTGGTCGCTTCTATTATTTTTTCCATCACTGTATTTTTTTGTTTTGCTCCGATATGGAAGCTATGTATCTTGATCTGCATTAGACAAGAACTCGTATATCTGCCAAGCTTGATGTTTCTAGCACTGTTGGCTTAAAAGATATCGACGTTAATAGAGACAAACATACAAACGAACGGATAGATTGTCAGCCGAATATACATTTAATTGCTAACTAAGACATTCAGTTGCCAAAAATACAAATTCTAAATTAAAATTGACGTACAACTTCAGAGTCGTTTTAGGTATTCCTTTTTCCAAATGCCGATAATCTTACATCTTTTAGAACAGCATACAAACAATTATAATTCGATTTCAATATCACTTCAGCTTTTTACAAGTTGATTAGTTGTTCTTAAGAGTTATTTACTGTACATACGTGCAGGCGCATTGGCACCCGGAGACAAACTTACCGAGGACACTTTCTGGGGCACAAAACTGTCCGGTTTGCATTGCAGCAGCTGTATGGCAAGACTAATGTCGGCCTTGTAGCGTTCCTGTGTGGCCACAAAAAAAAAAAAAGAAAGAGAGCATTGGGTAAAGTAAAAATAAGATAAGCGACATGGAGCGGAAGCATAAGGCAGTATACAAGTAGTATTCGTGCATATTCATTGTGTGTGCGAGTGTGTGTGAGAGACACTGTGTTTGTTTATTTGTTTGCGTGTGTGCGTGTAGTTTATGTAGCGCTTTTCTTCTTTTGACACTTTTCGTATGCAAATGTCAAATATGTTTGCCTGAGGTTTTCTCCCTGTCTTCCTATATGTACCTTTGTATGTATGTATGTATGTATGTATGTCGTGTGTGTGTGTGTGTGTGTGTGCGAAAATTATACGCCTGCGTTTTTGTCGTGTAGTCCCACTGCGCCCCTTGCTAGCCCTAAAAGCTACCCCTTACATATTGTTAAACAAACTTTTTGCTGTTGCTTTTGTGTTTCGGTGTCAGCAACAGCCTGCCTCAAAGTTCGAAGTGTGTCTTGCACTGCTTACGGTTTGGGGGAATGCGTTTTGGTCTGGGTCTTTAGTTCTCTTGCTTTTTTCAGTTGTTTCTGCATTACTTTTTCTTTTTTTCCTTCTTCTTTTTTTTTTGGTTTTGTCACCGCACACACAAAACTTTGCTTGTTTTGAAATTTTGCAATTTTGCGCTGCACTCGAACTCGTTAAACAAGCAGCAACAACAACTGCTACAAAAACAGCAACAGCAACAGGGAGGCGTTTGAAAAGCGCAGTTAAATGCTGTTTTTGTTGTGTTATTGTTGTTGAGCGTGCTGCATGGCTGACCCAAATAGTAGTAGAGGAAACCATCAGGCAGGCAGGCAGGCAAACGCGGGCAAACGCGTTTACCAACACTTACACGCCACATCGCCATTTTGTCCCCTCACGCCAGCCCTCTCCCAACACTTGTCGGTTTCGGTTTCACGCTGCATAGCGTTAAACTGTAAAAATGCCACTGCTTGCATTTTCTGCACTCTTTCTTCTTACTTCCCCTTTCCCTCTTATTTCTATTATTTTTGAATAGTTTTTTTTTGCTCTTCCCATTCAACTTGGCATTTTTATTTGCTGCAGCAAATTTTATAAATAGTAGAAATGCATAAAATAGAAATGAAATAAATTCCAAAGTGACGGCAAAGTGGTAGGACGAAGGCTCGAACTGACAGCTGAATGAGCTGCACTGATTGAGTAAAGGGCTGATTGGCTTTCACTCATAACTGGGAGGGAAGGTAAAGGTTCAGTGTTTGAGTTAAAAATATAAGAAGGCCGACCTCAATCACAAGTGACTACTGCTGCTGCTGTTGATTTTAGAAACATGCTCTCAGCTACATAAAAAGGGCAGAGTAATTTTGAAATACTATTTTAAACCATTTAATATTTGTCCATTAAATTGTTATTTATTTATTTTATGTCTATTTCTGTGGCCTAAAATAAACAAAGGGCTATTTTCTTTTGAATACAAGTATTTCCATGCGACGCAGGCTTGGGTGACACTTTGTGACTTTGGTTTGCCGCCATTTTGGAGACCCATTTGTTCTGGTTTTTATGCGGACATTACCATTTACTAAATATTGCATAGCTGTCATTTGCTCTATACAAATTATTTACTACCATTATTTAATGAATCGGCGAATTGAATTTGTTTGCTGTATTAAGATACTTCTGGTCGAAAAGAAGCAAACATTGATAAACATCTTAAATGACTTTTATTTGTATATCCTCTTGTCAATGAAAATCTGGCAATTGAAAGTAAATCGGTTTTCAGAATAAGAACTTTTTATTCATAGTAAATCTTTAAATGTTTAATCTTTATTTAAGATCTGTCCTAGGTTGGACATTTATTAAATTTTATGGTAGCTTCGAGATTTTTAAATCGTGTTTCTGTCATGATGTTTGCGACGTGATACGAACCGAGTGCCTGCTCAAGGAATAAACGCACATTAAAGGATTCCTGAAAGCTCGTTGAGCTATGCCACAAATTGAAAAAAAATATATTAGGAGACAAATTAATTATGCAATGGTTGATGATGGGGCAATTTTTCCTGAAACTCCCAACTTTGAATTAGGAATTTTTTTACACATTAGATTCGAAAGGAAATTCCAAAAAATCTCACTCGAAATTTGTCATGCCCTAATAGGGTTTTAAAAAGCGTCTATGTACTAAATTTGAATTTAGTTTTAGAATTTAGTTTAGTTTTAAAAAACAAAAGCATTTTATGCTTGTTTGCATTGGAATATTTATTTTCTTGCAACATACTATATAGTATTTGGATTACACAACAGCAGAAGAAACCAATTTTTTGGCAATTTAAATCAAACTCATGATACTCTTGATATTATATAATAAATACAATATAAAGTAATGAATTTAATCAATAAAGTATATTTCATAACTTAGTAAAATAGTGCTAATTTTTTGACGATACAATGCCTTTAATTTCTTCTTACACTGCCAGATTAGTGACTGCCTGAGCTGTGACTCTTCTCCTTTAATAAACGGATTAATATTTTTAATTCACTAACAAAGCAACACAATTATTTCTATTTTTGTTTGAGCGGCTCGTTTTTCGAAGCACTTTTTAATAAGTACGTTTAAAAACATAAATTGTTTTCATTAATTGTATATTTAATATTGATTCAAAATTAGGGGCAAGCACTTACAATGTTCAGTTGATGAAACAAAATATCAATTCTTGTATTCACTGCGCTATTAAATGTGTTCGGGTTCACGTACATCATCTGGCTTCCAAATAATATGCATGTACATTAATGCACTTTAAACTTAATTGTCTGACACTTTTGCACTCTACATAAATCCCCGAGCTCACCCAGTGGCCATCAAATAACATCAGCCCGTGCCCATCAAAGTCGACACGGCACGTTTGGCGCATGCAAATAAATTTCCAACTTTGCGCACTTTAATAAAGTGGCCAGGCAGCCTTGCAGCCTTGCAACCAACCAACTAACCAACCAAGAGCATCAACTTCATCGGGTAAATGCCAGCCGACATGGCAGTCGCATTCGTTTTTTATTCAGCTCTAAATTTAAAACGTGCAACGCCAGAATATACCCCTTTATGCCATCGAATCGAAGCGCTTTTAATTAAAACAAGCGCAAGCCGTGACAAATATATACTCATTGGTGTGCATGTGATCTACATACACATATAGTTTACTATACTCGTGCTCGTACATGTTTAAAATCATATGTGCGTGGCAAAGTAATAAGAATAATTGGATCATTAGCTTGTATATCAAATTGCATGCATTTAATTAAAAATGCTCTACAGCAACTCTTGCTGTCAATTGTGTTTAATGCAAACAATTGCACACAATGAACACGTCCATGCACATACGCACACATACTTGTATATACTTGTATAAAAAGGACACCCAACAAACAATAATCAAACATTATCAATGGCCCTGTTAATTACAATGCGCTAGCGAATGGCGTGCATATATTGTGCGATGTTTATTTAGGAGCTGGTTCCGCACCCATTTTGTGGACAGTCCGAAGAAAAGTCTAGCACCTTGTTCGATTCGGTTTAAATCTCCACAATTGTCCCTAGAGTGATCTTTTCAATTTATTAAATTTTTTGAAATCAAGACATAAAAAGTTCTCTCAAAATGGTGTTGACTGATCCATTAGAAATCATCAGCATGCATCAGCAATGTCTCCAGGTGTCCACTTTTCGATTTGCTTTAGGTGCTGTTCATCAGATCATAATCGGATTGGTCGGCTTGAATGTGGCTCTTCAGCGCTTTCCCCATCTTTGAACATTTTATGCCAGGCATAAACTATTTTTTATGGCAACATTTTTTATACTTAGGCTCCAGACATGCCATTCTTTAAACAACAATTTAACAGAACTTCTTTGTTGAATAACCTCGAACAAAAACACTAAAGATAGGCCCTCACATGTAAACAATGAAGGAAATTATGCGAAATTTGAGACAATGCTGGCAACACATAAAAATAAAATGAGTTGTTCCTATCGAAACGCCCGCTTCAATTCACGTTCACATTTCCGAGTCATATTTGTACACCTCCATGTTAGCAATTAAAAAAATTCAGATCTTAAATAAAGCAATAATTGAAAAGAAATATATATATTTGAACACAGTAGTATTAATAGGAATAAATCTGGTTTTAAAGCTAAGAGGTACTTTGTGAACAGTTAGAGAGAGAGAGGAGGATCCAACAAATCAGAATCGGAAAGATCTAACAACAAACGAACATTTACATTTTTAATTATGAACTGATCTTAAAACCACATATCTGTTAAATCATAAATGTATCGGATATTTCTATTTGACGTTGATTCTCGATGCATCGACGTTAATGATTAGTTACATCCCTAGCGCTGGAATGCGTGCACTGCAATCTGGCCAAATACATGGCATACTTTGAGGCGCACGCGAAAAAGGACGCGGCCCCAGGCGCAGACCGCAAGTTTGATTGCCTTTCTCCATGCAGATGTGTGTGTGTGTTTTTGTGCAATTTCATGCTTGTTTGCGCAACTGACCGCAAACCAAAAAAGGAGGCAAACGTCACACCCTTTCTTGGCTGCGGTTTTAATATTGCTAATAAAAATGATTGCATTTTTTTCAGTGCACAGGTACACTTAATTAAAATTTCGCTAGTAATGTTAATTTAATCTTGAGTTTAGTAAAGTATTTAAATGTCCTATTGGGGAAGAGTATGTACACACAGGCCTATAAATACTACTTTGATCAACAGCCTGTCGACGGTCTAAGTGAGCTGATTCGACTTCTGTTCTTTATTCCTCTGTTTTTATCGCCATTGCTGCTGATTTGTAAAAGTTTGGTCATCTTGAGTACTATGGTTATAGTATTTATGTAGCTCAGCACGTGTTCTAGATTTTTTTATAATTTTCAAAATGGATTTGAATTTGCGTTCTGGCAGTATGTATTAAATTTTGCCTTAAAAATTGTTCCGAAAACCTTAGTAGTGTGCGAAAACTGTTTCAGCCTCTAAAGAAAACA